TTTCGAAACAAAAGCCGCTAAACCAGTTATTTCCTCGGATTCGAGCAGAGCAATCATCCCATCGAAGTAAATGCCCGTCGCGCAATAAAGTACGAATGTTAATTACACAAAAACGCATAAACTCCAAACGAAATTTCACCGAGCTTCCCGTCCGCGCCACTTGAATTAACCCGAGAAATCTGACCGAATATTGTTCATTAATTGAATTGCAATATTAACCGGGCGAATAAAGAAGAATAAAGTCTCTCGCGATATAGACCAATAAAGAGGTCTTTATGCCAAACAAATCGGCTCCCTTTGAGCCTTCAAACGCGCCGCTCGACGTTTTATTCCTACTCCAGTATTTATCGCGCTCGAATTAGACCTTCGACGGGGCTCTCGGATAACTTTAATTCAACGATAAGTTTTATGTAATCTATGATTGGCGCGCTTTGAATGATAATCTGTGGCGCAAACGGAACGTTTACGTATGGTAACATTGCATTTAATGGCCCCGATGCATTATTCCCTTTAATTTTAATGCGGCGGACCGTGTTTGATATTTCATTATGTGGCAAGCTCTCGCCTGTTTCACTCATGGACAATATAATATTGTGTTATCACAGATCACTCATTATAAAATATGAAAAATTTAGCCTAACTTGTAATTGAAGAGTCGCGAAGTTCGATGCATCTAATAAGTATTGTAATTTTTTATATAAACACGTGAAAGTGAAAAACTAAATGTATAATCAATGTAATAGGAAAATCATTTTGAATTAATCTTGTCTGTGTACATAAAGTGAAAGCCCGTGGTTCCTCTTCGTGGGGCTTGGGGTGAACACATTTTTGTGCCCGATTTACTGATCCGTCCTTTTCACAGGCAAGTAGTTGATCAGATTTCTGTGCCCTGCCCGGCCGAAACTATTTTATGTTTTACCATTTAACGAATTCAATACATTTAACCATTTGGCTACAAAGGCGGCGTGCACATAATACACTAATCGAAAAGAAAGTCTGCACTAATCTATTTAGTTTTGTACTAGCTTGGAGTAAAAACCTTAAGGTTTGGTAAAAAACCGGCATTCAAACCGGATGCTAGTGAAAAATGTTACTATTAATTTATCATTTAGTACCTATTCTAGGCGAATAAAACGTAATAATGCAGCCGGAGTCAAATTATTTTTTCAACAAAATTACCATGCTACTAAAAGTCATCTTCAAACGTACGTATAGTCGCGGTCGAAAGCTAGTTCAAACCAATTTGTTTTAAAAAGGAACATCGACATTTTGTTCAATGTGCGAATTCTTGGCACAATCTGGTAATAACGGACGATTCACGATGTCATTGCTAGTAAAAAAAAATGGCGCGAATCAGCAGTGCCCGCATCTCACATGAATGGCAGCCCGCATGCTCTGCAGTCTATGATTGAATCAAGTATGCTGAACACAGACTCACCGGCAGACTGCTAACGTTTTTATAGACTATCGGTAACATATAATCTGTGGTATCAAGACCAGATTCATCTAGACTGCAATTAGATTTATTATCTGCCTGCATCTTTTATACTCATTATTAAGTACGTCTATGGAATGAATGTTAATAGTGTTCTTTCTTACTTGTTGACTACCTAGTAGTTGTATCTATTCAATTACTAAAAATATTTTAGTCCTTTTAACATTAATAACAATGAACTACCAAATAAAATTGTATTTTTGGCCGCCCTTGTATCTTATAATGTAACGAAATCACAATATTTTTGAGTATCTAGACTTCATATGATGAAATATTAAACGGTAGCTTGTTTCTGCCTTATACCTTTACCTTTCGGCGGTGAAGTCCCGTTAATATTGGTCCAACAGTTTAAGAGATTAACCAAGGCAAACAAACACGGAAAATAAAGTAACAGTTTAATACAATTTAAGTGTTAAGTATATGTTATAAATAACTAACAAAATTGTGTACGTTGTATTTTTAAAAATACCATATGTATTTATAAAAAGCTTTTGTTATTACATATATGTGTGTGTGTGTAGTATTTATGTATGTATGGCTCAGTTAATCAGTAAACTCAGATCAGAGCTCAAAAGACCACCAGAAGCGAAACGTTATCTATTTAATTGTCCAAGGTGAACGTTTTGGGTTAATTGAGAACGCATCGTCCCTCTAAGATTAGCGGGAGCCGATATTTACAGCCACACTAACAGATAAAGCAAATAACAACTTGTGTTTAGTGCTTTAATACTGGCCATTATACTATTTAGCCTCTTAAGAAGATAAAAGCAATGACAATTAAAAAGTGAAAACGATTTTAAATAACGTTTGTGATTATTATAAACCATAAAATAACGTTCTGTGTTTTTTAATAAACTCAAAACGAATTATCTACTACGAAGTATGAAAGTGTTTTCAATTTAAATAAAACACTTAAAGGGTTTAAAACGCGATATATTATATTTGTTAAACTTTTACATCTCCCCGTGACCACGGCTGTTGCAAAGCATCTGAAACGTTGAGCCGTAGTTAAAATAATTTTCAAATAAGTTTAACTAAATTTAATGTATACTACTTAAACTACAGGCAGTATTTATTTAACCAGAGTTTTCAATACTAAATTTTAAATCAAACCCAACAATTTAATATTATATTAATTACAATCTTGTCATCGGTTTTTTAAATCATTTCATACATATGAATGTCCCATTAGGCATAAATTTCTTCTTTCATACCCACCACGATATTCAAATTCAGATTGGTGGGCTCTCGTGATTGTGAACTTGTAACGGGACCGACGGCTCACCGAGCACTCCGCGGCACACCAAAGCATCCATTTGTACATAATAAACCCCATTCGATACCATACAATACAACAATAGAGGGATGTACAAACTTCAAGTGATAAATATTCATACAAATTATTAGATAATAATATCGCTCCGCCATCACGTGACGTAATAACTTAAGCCCCTTGCACACTTCGCAACTAATCCTATCGCTATTGTATTATCACCCTAACTATGTTCCTATTGCATTCTGCCACCCAGGTACTTCGAAGGCAACTTTACCACCTGGTTATACGGTTCAAATTCACCTCCACGTCTGCTGGGGTAATTGAGAATTGTAATAATATTATATTTTGCGCGTTTCGTTGCGTATCGATATCTACAAGTTTCCGTGTTTTACTGAAACTGGCTTTAATTAAATTAACTTGTTAGTCGTTTGGTTTTTCATTTCTGTCTCTCTCGTGAAAAGCTCGAGGGCCGCGGAGGAGCATTTTTAGAAACTGAAAAATACTTGTGAATTCGCTTGTACAGTTGGAATTTATTTAAAAGTGTCATTATTTGTATTTTATTTATTGCGATGAGATTCGTTTAGTAGTTATTATGCCAGTTCAGTAAAGATAAGTCATATTTTGTAAGTGTGGTTTGGACATAAGCATTCTGCTTTTATTTATAAAAAACCAACAGAATAAACAGTTAATTGTGTTTCTTTGAATAATTACATACATATCACTAGGTTTAGACCGCTAAATATTAAGATAACAATTTAAGTAACACAAGTTATGTCTAAATCCAATTACAATAAGAATATGAGGTATTATTAGTTCGTTTATTTAAATACATTATTACAATATTACTTAGTAATAAAAGAAATTACATTATGTACGATACTAGAGAAAAGATACGTAGGTAGGTAAAATCGATTCAATTAAATTGTATGTGGCCAAGCCCCAATAAGATAATACAGAGCTTTATAACATGTTAAATAAATTATCATTATGAGTTATTATATGGTACATTATTATATTGCCTGAGTAGAATTTGTTATTATTGAAAAACCTGAATACCTGAAAAAACTAGCTAAAGTTTAATAATGTTATTTGGTACACGCCTAGCGTTGTTCGCAAGTCCCAAAATAAATCGGAATCAATATTTAAGGCTGTACTAGGAGTGTCCCACTAATACCTATTGGTACGGGGGTGACAATGAGCTATCTTGCCTCCTATTGGCTAGCCGGTCTACGCCCTGATCGCACCGGACTTGACCGGTTATATCCGGTTTCCGGATCAAGTATTTATTTTTATTGTCTGTGAATACACCTGGATTTCAAAGAACTACAATACAATAGTAATTTTAACAGATTTTTCATGCAAAGTTTAAGTAGAACAATTTAATTAATATATTTTTTAACTCTTTTATATATTACACATTTTGAAGCATATTCCAAACGGATTGTTAGTTGATTGTTATTACCTTATTCGTAGATATTATCGTCTCTGTAGCTTAATGGTTGAACATGTTTCCTAGCTTTTCAAAGGAGCTGGATTCGAAACCTAGCGAAGTAATAAAATGTTTCGATCGGGCAGGTTTTAGACCATCAAAATTTACCTTGATAAAATCATAATAATCGGACACGAATGTGTTCACCCTGTACCCCTCCGGGGAAACGGGATTTCAAACGTACCTACACACTTATATATTTGAAAACTTCAACCTTCCTAGTATTTTGTATTTAGGTGAAGACTTAACGAGAAACATTCTTACACAATAAGAACAATAGAGGGACAAAATGGTCTAAAACTTTTTATCCGCTTGAAAAACTGTAACATCTTCAATTTAACGAACGCGACAGGGCACTTTTAAATATTTGAGATCTCACAAAGGTCAGAACAGCCGTTCTTAGAAGCACAATGCGACTGTTAGTTTGGACTAGAGCAGGGCCGGACATTTTTCTGACACAAATTAATAATGGAAGGCAGGCCGATTGTTTTTATTACATTCTCGTTCATATAAATACACACTACTGAGAAAGGTTTAGTATTTCTTATCTTATTCTTGTTAGATATTGAATAAGTACTGTTATACAATGCTTTATAAAATTAACTACACTTTTCTAATACATATTAATTTATATACCTACCTAAACGCATAAAAAAATAGTTAGTGGTTTTTATCTATTGTGAAATTAAAATATCAATAACTATATAAATGTAATTGCAATTTAGTAGTAAATTTGACTTTTAAAATTTTGTGATTGGCCGCAGAAAGATCGTCTCTAGACCGCAAAAGCCCCGATCGTCCATCCCTGGACTAGAGGAAAGCATTCCTCGCATCGTTCCGAATGGTCCGATCCAGCCCGTGGCCCATAATTGCCCGTGGCGCCCGCCGTCACCTTTTTCCTTTTTTGAGCCCGTGTTTTTGTTCGCTTGTTGGTTTTTGGAATTAGCATGTCTTATTAGCATAACTGTCCGATAAGAATTGATTACTGTTTTAACAGTTCCGATGGAGGCTGAAATTGGCTCCGATTTTTGAGCGTAAATCATATTGCTACTTTATAGGGCAATTATGCTTTACCGAGTACGTTGAAAAACAGGTAATATTTATTTATACACGCACAGCAATGTATGCTGAAAGCCTTATGTTAAAATTTTAGTTTTTGAAACTGCTGCTTCAAAGCCCTTTTCTACAGCAATTATTACGGATAACCCAAGATCTCAGTCAGTAGAGTGTAAGTATTGAAAAACATGAAAAAAGGGGAAGTACAGTGTCATACTAGAAATAACAGGTCCTAAGAGAGAATCTGGTCCTGAAACGGTGAGGTAACAAAATGTAAATTTGTACACCGAGAGACTCACGTTGAATTTATACGATGTTATAAATCAGCCGAATACACGGCGGCGCACAGTCAGCCGTACTAAAGAGACGATGTTCCCGATAAAATATGCGTCTGCAAGCTCGCTGCACAGTCACCGAAATGGTAATACTGTTAACAGGGAGTAAAATAACTACACGGCAAACCAAAAGGAGAATTATGCATCATCTTGGGAATTTCTCAATAAGACGTGTTGTGCGCGTGGGGCCGACGCGGGCGCCGCCCCGCGGCGAACCGGTGGCGCCTCTATCGATTATTCGGACCTCTCTCTCGCTTGTAGCGCGGCGTCCCGCTCGCGGTCGCGCGGGTGGCGCCCGCCACGTCATTACGGGCCACCTCGGCCTCGGAGCCTCGACCGGCCTGTATCATTAATCTAAACTCGTAAAGCTGAAGAGTTTGGATGCGCGAAGCTCAGAAACGGCTGTGCGATAGACCTCTCTCAGTCCTAGCAAATTTATCTTCCAATACTAACAATGAAAAATGCTGTAAAAATTATATTTTTTTAGAGCGCTCGTTTATACACTGGCTAAACTTATAAAGTTTTGAAAAAAAAATCATCTATGTTAGAATTGCTTCAAAGTCATAAAAAAGAACACAGTAACATAGTTTAGTTTCGCAACGGCTAAACTTTACTTTAGTAGGTTACTTAGGTAACAAAATTGTTGACAATGCGCATATAAATCCAGAGAAGAACGGAAAGGCGAAGTAAATCTCCCTTTTTACAGAACGGTCGCGTCGGGCGCGGTGAGAAGTAGCCGCATCGTTTTATAGCGCTTAATTAACGTCGATCTTTCGCTTGTCTAGCCATATACGTCTTCGTCCGATTCAGATCGTAGATAGTTCTAGAATGTCACATTGTGGGTTTCGCTGATCTTGTATGTTGCTATTGTTGGGGAAATCAGATGGGCGATTCGTTTACGAAACGTGACGATGAATTATCTATAATTCTCAGGGTCTCTTTAATGCGATAAATACAATAAGTCTCTAGAATCCTAATCTCGTATTGTAATTATAGAGATTTGATGGTTTGAGATTGAATTGTCCACTGAAAGATATTTTATTTACTGTCATTAAATAAAAATAGGCATCCAACTAATTATATTCGGCCGAATAACTAAATATCGGTGAACCTGACCGAATAGCTATAGCTAGCTATAGCTATTCGGTCAAAAATATATTCGGTGCAAAACATAATAATAAGGTGGCGTTTGTAAAAAGGCGATATCGGATCAAATGTAAAATAATTCAGTTCTCTGTTGTTAAATTTAATAAATAATAGCTATGTATACATATTTAATGAATGTATGCATTTTTTATATCATCAATCAAATATCGAGTTCCTTATACAAAATACAATAGGGGGGGGGGGGGGGGGGGGGGGGGGGGGGGGGGGGGGGGGGGGGGGGGGGGGGGGGGGGGGGGGGGGGGGGGGGGGGGGGGGGGGGGGGGGGGGGGGGGGGGGGGGGGGGGGGGGGGGGGGGGGGGGGGGGGGGGGGGGGGGGGGAGGGGAGGGAAAAAGGGGGGGGGGGGGGGGGGGGGGGGGGGGGGGGGGGGGGGGGGGGGGGGGGGGGGGGGGGGGGGGGGGGGGGGGGGGGGGGGGGGGGGGGGGGGGGGGGGGGGGGGGGGGGGGGGGGGGGGGGGGGGTTTTTTTTTGGGGGGGGGGGGGAGGGGGGTGGTGTGGTTTTGGGGGGGGGGGGGGGGGGGGGGGGGGGTTTCTTAAGTATTCGGTATTCGGCCGAATAGTGTAAAACACCGAAATTTCGTTGCAAGTCTAATAAAAAGATTACATTTTTTTTTAAAGTTCATTGATCTTGTGATCAGTGATCTTGTGGACTCTGTGGATTCACTTACGATTGGATATTTATTTTTTTATTTAAGTATAAGACAGGACATAGACTACTATTGTCATAGAGCTCATGTTTATTGTAAGGAGGTGTAACATTTCTCGAATTGTACGTTAGTAAGGGCCCCGGGCGTCGTGGCGGGCATTCAAATCCAACTTGGTAATTACACACCATAAACTCGAACCGATCGTCCTGATTAAGTTCTTGACATCATATTCTTAATAACAGTCGTGTGGCTTGTTTATGGTGTTTTCAGTTGTGTCAACGCGGTGGGTTGAGACGGTCCCAGTTTATAGGTAAATGGTGTTTCATTTTTTTTGATAAAGAACTTGATGGTAGGTAAAATATCCTAACCATATAACATATAAACACGATGCGCTGTCGACCTTTTTGGCCTTTCAGTCTGTGGATTTGTTGTGAAACCAAAACACGATTAAACTTGATGGCTTTTCATCTGTTGACGGCGGTTCGTAAACCGGACGGTTTTTCGATATTTCTACCATTAATTTAATATCCTGATTTCTAGACGAAAAGAATAGAACGAAAGAAATATAAATTGATTAGAAAAGGGTTGCACGACCCGTTGATTATTAGCCAAGCATTGCTACCGTTACACCAATAATCTACTCCTACAGATATATACAGAAAGCTATCTCCTTTACGTACGTAGGAAAATACAATATAGGACAACGCCATTACATACAAATATACTATGCCTGAATCCAAAATTGTGCATACATATTGATAATCCGGTTATATATTAATTGCGTAAAGTAGGTATGGTAATTTGTAGTTTCATTCATGAACCGAACCGGTTTTACGTCTAGCTCATAGGAAGTTATTACGTAAACGTCCTGACAGCTGTATTATCGAGATGAATAACCACCGATTGCTATAATTTAAAACATAACTGCCAATTGCTTTACGAAATCACAGATCAGAAATATACAGAGAGATCTTAAGTTTGTCGATGGTTAAAAAAACATTCTGTCTATGGTTTCTAATTCCTACTGTTTCTGTTTTGTCTGTATACCTAGTCCACATTGTTATCTTAATATAACAGATTTTTTACATCTTTTTATAACGAAATAATAGAATACCATGTCTATGAAAAAGTTTAAAGTCTTTGCATGCATTTCTCTTATTAAAGCAAAGCTTTTGTTTTCGTTAAAGTTACTGATCATATGGCATTTTGTCGTATTTGATATAGTTGTATATACTTCCATATTTTGCGTGTAAAAATATTAAAACAAACTACGAAAAGCACATCCCGAGTAAGTGATTCAAATTATGGGTTCTTAAAAAATCAACAAAGGTTCGAAAGGTAAAAACGATAAATCATGGCTGGAAAGAAAATGTTTACTCAAGCGGTCCGCAGTTATTAAAGTAATTTAGCACTCTGGCCAACGTCTGCTCTGTCCACAATGTTTGTTTTGCAGGCGAGAACTTTGCACAGACCATTATTACGTTCGCGTTATGTTTTTTACTCTCAGAAGTTGTCGACCTTTGGCTCGCTTGCGAGTAATTGATTTTTCTACTACGTTTTGCGTGTATGACTGCAAAGATATTCTTGCAGTAGGAACTATTATTTGAATAAAGAATATTAAACGGTACAAAAGGAGAGATGTATTATTCAAACTTATTATTTATTTATTTTAAATTCCGACAGTATGGGTGCGTTGCAATGGTAACGGGGAGAATGAAGTTAGATGGTGTCGTAAACTGAAATCTGCCATACTAGCGCCATCTTGTTTCTTCATCTATGGTATTTGAAAAGTGCATATGACATCTAGGAAAGTCAAAAAGTCAATTGGTTTATTCAAAGTTCAATATTTTCGTCGATATAAGTAATTTGCAGCTTTGTTAGTTAAAATAGCTACATTAGCTAAGCTTAGAAATCATGCAACACGATTTAGATGATTTGTTTAGATTAGTAATTCAAATTAATAATGAAGATTGAATGGCTTGTTTTGTTTTTTCGTTTGATTAATATCATGCCCCTGATATACAATTAAGTAGCTTCAAGTAAATAAAATGACCATAAATGCGATATTTCTGCCATAACTCACATTGTTTAATATTTAATAATAAAGAAACCAAATTATAAACCAATATTGATATAAGTAGTTAGCTCTTAATATAACCCGAAACAAGTATAAAGAAATCCACACTATAAATAAAGGTTGGCAATCTCTGGCGGCAAAGCCTCGCTAGACGCCGGGGGCGCGGGCGCAGTAAACCAGCTACACATTATTTATAATTTATCCATTCATCCGTCTTCGATTCTTGTGGTCGATTGTATCTTCATTTATTTTCCTCCTTAAACTTTTGTCTTGTTTAGGCGCATTTTAAATGTCCTAGCCTTTCAACTATTTTCACAACTATCGGCGAGGTGTACATTTGTTATCCTTCAATTCAGCCTCATATGTATCTGTAAGGCTGTGAGAAGTTTTTAATAAAGGTACCTATCTATTTCTCATGAGTACCAAAAGGTACCGATCATATCAACATTATTTATTCTGTGTAGATGAATAAAAAATTTATTATATTAATACAGCGATACAAACGCAAGATGTAGTTACGTGTTCCTATATTTTATTATAAAAACCTTTTTAGTATATATTTAAATTTTGATGTCACGGCTTGGTACAAGTAGCGCCATCTATAATTAGATTGGTAAATACACGCGAACGACAAAACAAAACGTTTTAAATGTTATGCTATCCAGTAACCAAATGTCCGTAACATTATTACCGTCAAATTACGTTAATGGAGACTAATTATTTATCGCGCAATATAGCCACGATGCTCTATTATCTACGTATGCATGTACATTTAATAAAAGTAATAAATTCGAAAGTCTGTAACGGTGATTGAAATTTATTTGTGTTTTATACGCAAAAAATATCTAATTTCGTTTAGTTTGTCTCTATTTGACGAATAAACTAATCCGTCAAAAGAACGTTTGAATGTATTTGCTGCGTGCAACTGTAAAACCTCAAAGCTATATATTTGTGTGCATGTTCGGAGAAATGAACCTTTCCTGTCTAATGTATAAAAATCATTAAAACCCGCTTTCTCACCCCTCATCTGTCGGCGATTCCCGCCTTTTTTCTTGTCATACTAAAGTTCATTTTCTCTCCTTCGTAGGAGCTCATCTATAGCCAAAGTCAACGGATGTTATCCAAGTTGCTGTGGCCCAATCCGACACCTAGTGCGCCCAGAGACCCACACTCAGATCATTTGGTTAGTAGACATTTCATTTTTAATCTGCCGTCACTGTGTCAATAACTGTCACAACACTAAAGTCCTTCGAAATTCTACAAAAAAAAAAAACATTGCCAAACGCAACTGCCGTTACTCCTATAAAAGTATCATATCCTATGCATGTTGCCGGAGAATTAATAAAAATTAGCATCAAAACAAAACATTTTAAACTGTGTTGATATTTAAAAAACAACAGTCAACGTTAAAACTCATATTTCTATCAAACGCCCACTAAACCTTTTTGCCGCCAAAAAAATTTAT